TCCCTAAAGATTGAATCAGCATTTGATCTGTTGATAAAATTTCTCATTAACACCTTCTATTCCAGATTACATCATCCAAAATGTTCAAGGAGTTCCATTGTTTAGCAGTCAGCGGTCCCACGCATGACCAACAGCCTGTCTTTCAATGGAGCAAAACAGAATGGAAGCGTCCCCTTGGTCATCCTGACAAATTTGATTTCTCGCCTGTTCTTGTTTCTTGGGAAAATGGGAATTGAACAATTCTAAATCATGTGATTTATCTAAAGTATGTTAGGTGAACTCAGTTTGTGATTAAATACAATATTAATTATTTTACAGTTGATTAAATTTTGCGCAACCGAGCGAAATGTTCAGGATCGTATACTGCAAAAATAGTGCAAAATCGACCTCTAAGCTAGCCCGCAGTGCTCAGAAGCTTCAACGTTATTGGACGACATTAATACCTATTGCTTTGGTCTTCCAATATGCATAGTGTTCAGAAGCTTCAACGTGATTGGAGGATAATACTATCAGTTATTCCAGTCTTCCCATTGAGCCCATCGATCATTGTGTGTGATCGATTTATCCATAGCTGTGAAACAAGTCCATTCTCTGAGTAGCAATAATTGGTTTTATACTTAGTTCTACGTCAAGTACTCACCAGGGTCGGTAGAACTATCGAATACCCCACACCTCGGACAATTATTAAATGCGTAGTTGACACAGGTATACCATTTTTCACGCGCGACTCGCCACGCGTAGCCACTACATTTAAGAATTTCGTCTGAAGGGTTAGGTTTAGGGAAAACGACGGGTCAGGCTATAAAATGTTAAATTCATAATTCTAAGTAAGACAATTTTTAATAAGTTAAGGCGTAGCTAAAAAGCTCGAATAAGTCGATAAAAAACTGTAGAAAAATATACAAGTGAAAAAAAGTATGGACCCCTGTTCGCTTGTTAGGTGCTTCTATTCGCTTGTTAGTTTGTTCTATACGCTTGTGCCATATATGGAATACGTACTACAAACCCGCCTCAGAATTTCTCGTTCTCAAAAGACATGTATAAGAGACACAGGTATACCGATACACCTTTTTTGGCGCGTAGCCAATATAAGAATTTCTCGTTCTATGAAGACATGACATGTATAAGCATGGAAGCAGGCGGTGTTGGACACAGCGCGAAAAGGATCCTGGGTTAAAATTCAAAAATGGTTTCATTTGCCACTGACCTTTTATTTGAGCTGTGAGGAGCTCCGTCGGAGTTGATTGAAATCTAAGAACAACTTGAAACGTATCCTGAAAATAAGTAAAAATCATAATAGACCTCAGTAGCTAGAACTCTGAAACCTTACGATTCGAGCAATTGTGAGAAAACTAAGTTCATTTTATTACAAGAAAGCAAAATCATACCTTTATACGGCAGTCTCCGAAAAGACATGTTAATCACATCAGCGATATGAATGACGCTCATGTTTTGCAATTCCAAGGAACCATCCTTCGTTTAGCCTGTAAGACTCATTTACAGGCTAATTTTGCATAGTCAATTGAAACCCCCGACYCCCGGGGCTAGCGGGGCACTGAACGCGCTTTTAACAGCAAGATTGCTCTGGGGGTCGGGATTTTGATGAATTGGTTTCGAAGCGGGGCAAAGAGCGGGRATTTTAACGCTCGTTTGAACATGTATGAGGCTGGAAACTAGACGTTCGCCATCTTGAGAAATACCCTGAAGGCATTGGTATTCAACCCCGCTTTTTTATTTGCTTATTTTTCCTGCATGAATTTTTTTAAAAAGAAACTTATTACACATGTTTTTSKCCGTCCAGTTAGCCTCATGTATAGTACGCAAATGAGTACACAGGATTGTCCAAAAATTAACCCTGTGTATCACAGAAAATTTTGTTTTGTTATTTACTAATAGRCCAAAATAGCGGGGCAACAGAAGCGAATGTGCCCCGACTACCGGGGGAAATGTCTTATTTTAACACTACTCAAACGTTAAATTCCCCGGGGGGCGGGGGTTTCAATTGACTAGTGCATAACCCTTACAAGAACCAAATTAGCCTGAACCGCCAAAATAGGTCATAGGTGTTTTACACGCGGGTTTTTAATGTGTTCTATAGTTACTCCTCCGGTTTTTCTTTTTTTTAAATTACCTGATCACCTGCTGCTTTACCTCAAAGAATTCAGAGTAGTACTGGTACAGAGCCAAGTCACGAGGCTGTCACGAACAACACTCGCGCCGGTCAAAACAAGAAAGTGCAAAAAAGATGGCGCTCCTTTACATGTTTGCTATTCTTCTAGTTATTGTTTGTTGCAGTGGCATGGAAAATGGCGAATATGTGTCTGTGATCTCTAAAGATCAGTCATTGAAGATTGTACCCGGCAAAGTTATGCCAAACGTCGCATGGGCTCGCTTTTCCAACGAAATCGACAAATCTGGGTAACTTTTGAATAGCTTATTATTTTTATTGGGCAACTTAAGCTTAGTTCTTTGTAGCTATGACGGGGAAAACAATCTAATCTACGCTACCGTGATGATAGGTTATATTCCTCGAGCTTTCGTCGGACTCCAAACATTATCAGAAAAGCGAATCATCTATCCTGATGCAACAACAGCAACAACAAATTTATATTTGGAGTTTTGCACACAAGGGTACATAAAACATTGGTTCCAAACAATATAAGGGAATATATAGATAAATATGTTTGTTTTTTAACAAGTTACTATTACCATATTTTGTCTTACTTCGCAAGGCAAAGCATTCATAGATACTTACTTTGCTGCTTGCGTTTGAAGGATGCATGATCAGGCCCGTAGGCTGGGGGGGAGGGGGGCTGTAAGGCAGCCTACGGCCCTGATGATGTTGATGCCCAACGCAAAGTCGAGAGATAAAACCTATTATGCTGGTCTTTACACTTTTCCACATATCTCCAAGTGTGTTTTTATTGGCTATTGGCCATTAATTAACACTTATTTAGTGGAACCAAGGGAAACAGTATGTTTTGTGGTCCCGAGACCGCTGATGTTTCCTGAAGCGAAKCTAAAATTTTGTAAATATTTTTATATTTGAAAATGTCTGGTAACTTATTTTTTATTATTTCACTTGAGTAATGTTACCGTGATTGTTCTATACATTGTGTTTTGTTTTGTTGTTGTTGTTTTTTATCAAAGATGGAGCTATCTTGAAGTCCACAGTAATGGATCATATCCAGATATGGTGCAAGCAAAGGCGGCTGGAATGGCAGAAGGATATATAACATCAGAACTAATGTACCAGACTTATATTAATGGAATTGCTGGTTATTGTAAAAATGAGACTGAATATTGTAAAAGGCTTGACCAATTTATTTATGAAAATAAAGATTGGATGGATCAGAAGATGAAAGAGGAAGGYGATGAATACTGGAACCAAGTATGTTAATTTTTTACCCAAATATAATTTAATTTAGAATAGTATTAATTGTTAGAGTTGTCCGCTCCATCCATCAAAAGGATTTATCTGCTATTTGGGTGTTATTCATCCTCATACAGCTTGCTTGTGGCTATTAAAAGACAGTTTATTTTTGTGGTATGGCAGCTCTTTTTCTATATTTGCAAGCACAACAGCTCTAGTATAGCCTTCTAAGAGTAAATAATACAACATTACTGATAACATGGTAATATATGGCTTTTTTTCTTGATTTAGGTGCAACTTATTTACTCCCAGCTGGAGGGTCTCAAAGATGGGTATCGTCTAAACAAATCATTACCTGACCTCCTTGATCTTACTTTCTTGTAAGTGAATTGATTCAGTGTTATTAATGTTGAATTGAAGTAAATGTTAATGTTTAGTATTATTGTTACAAGTTAGTGTACATTTTATAGCACTTTACTTATCTGTTTTAGACATTTTCAAATAGACGATGACCTTGAGGATTTGGAGCAAGTGTTGAAAAAGAAAAATCCACGTCATATCAAGGGATCTGGTTCTTGTTCTGCAYTGATCAAACTTCTTCCTGATAACAAGGAAATGTTTATATCACATGTCACATGGAATGTTTATACTGGTCTGCTGAGAGTTTTTAAACTTTATGACCTTCCATTTAAATATTCATTTAGCAATGGTTAGTATGCTCTGTGAATTCACCTACATGTAGTTTGTCATTTGAATACATGATCAAAGTCAATTGYAATTTTGTTTGGCAGGAACTGCGTAGGACAATTAGACTGTGTMCATATATATCCCATACACAGATTGGACTAAAACTTTTCACATTTTATGTTATTGTCAAAGTCTAAATTAGCTTTTTCATTTTAAACTAAAATTTCTGGAATAGAATTAAAGCTTGAACATCTGGGCAATCCTTTTTACTAATCATTATGCTAATTGTTTTAATATTGCAACAATATATTGTCCTTGTTATTTTTTCTTGAGACTACTTAAGACCATATTAAACAGTTCAGATAGATCTAGAGATATTCATAAATGAATGAATTAAAATTTTAATGACATATTCTGTTATCTGAAGTCTCTTATTATTTCTACATTTTTTTACAGGACAAGTAATCCCTGGTTATAAACAAAGTTTTTCATCATCTCCTGGTAGGTTATATAGCGGGGACGACTTTTACCTCCTGAGCAGTGGAATGGTACGTTAATATTGTAGTTGATAAACAAAATATTTTCACTTTGAATTCAGTAAATAAATGTCATTGTAATGATATTATTATGATTATCATTAGACAGCCATAATATGATAATTATATTCGACCTGTAATTTTGATCTCCTATCAATTTYCTTGCTGCTGATTTGTTCCTTCAACTTTATCCCAAATCTAATTGCAAAAAGTTTGAAAMGTGTCATATGCCACTATCTAGTTTTATGTTTGATCCTTATATTATACRACTGTATATTTAATAATTAAAATAGCTTTGTATTTGAAAGTGAAATTTGAAGAAGTTCACTTAGTGAAGTTCRCCAAACCAGGGATGAGTCAAATCCCATGAACATTATATGAGMAATCCTAAACAAGTGCTTAAATTTAGTTTTGTCAGCTAGTGACATTCATTATTACAAACTTTTATTGAAAGGTTTCTCAAGAAACTACCATTGGAAATGCTAACAGCRATTTGTGGAAGTATGTTACASCAGATGGTATCCTTTKGGAATGGCTAAGAACCATGATTGCTAACAGGCTGGCAAAGACACCGGCAGAGTGGACCTATCTATTCTCAAAGTATAACAGTGGAACGTAAGTTATATTTTGCTAGGAATCGAATGTCTGTTATAGTTTCCAATTGATGAAAATATTAGGGAATGTGATTTCATCATTTACTGAATCAGTTGTGGATTTTTTGTAATATATCTTTATTTKTTTT